AAAATAAAAGTCCCAAAAAGACTGTTATTTTTGACGGAAAAAATAAAAGTCCCAAAAAGACTTTTATTTTTGACGGAAAAAATAAAAATCGCAAAAAGACTTTTATTTTTGACGGAAAAAATAAAAATCATTTTTAACAGTTAAAAATCAACGTTTATTTTTTCCGTTAAAAAATAATCCTTAACATGGGAACTGAGAGTGTTTTCTCAAGATCACTCAATATCCTCAATGGGCTCCTCAGTACGAATCTATTGGTATATGACACTATTAGTGTCCCATGTCTCTAACATGAAGATTTTTTTGTTCGCATTTTAAAAAATAACTGTTATTTTTGGTCCCTGCATAATATGAATATTTTGTTTTCTTTTTCATAGGTCTATTCGACCTGTCATCAGTTTAAAATTATCCATACTCATTCATTGGCCAAATCCCTATTTATGTGTAAAAAATAGTTCCGTTTAGGTCATTATTGTTTATACGATCAATTTATAACCGATCATAGGTGCCGATATACAGGTGTCGTCTTTGGCCTGCACCGAACCTGTAGTTCCTAACTTTGACTACAAATTATAAATAACAGACGAAAAAACACGATTCAGTTAGTCGAGATATAACCATAGATATACTAAAAGATGGATCTAGGACGAATATTTCGTGGCATTAAAAACTATTGGGGCCACATAAACATATAAAACCCTCGCAGCATAGTTTTATAGGAAATGCATTATGATCACCTTTGACTGACAATTATTCCTTGAGCTTCATTATATTTAATTTGAATATAATATATTTTTTTAATAATAATGTTTACAAATACGTTGCATCTTTATAAATATTCAGGATATGTCTAATGAGCCCCCATTTTCTTCCGATTTCTGTTTTTCCCTCCCCATTTAACAGCTATTCAACTTCTATATTTTAACATGCGGAAGGCCACAGAAAAACAAAGACAATTGTTTTCTTCACCTTTTAAATTAAATAAAGTTTTGTTGCTGTTTTTTTTTCATTCAAGGTCAACTATGTAGAAAATAAATAATATTTGCTTTAGCCGTTGTTGCTGTTGTTATTCCGGCAACTTATATTGGTTTCATAAAAACAAACCTATCTTGTTTTGGCAAAAAGCGAAGAAACAAAATGAAAAAATATATAGACTAATATTGTTTATATTGTATAAAGTTGTATCATTGCACCGCCACAAGTTAGGCAGATGTGTAAAGCAGTACGGCTTTAGTGCTGTATACAATACTTGCACGTTATATATGTATGCACATATATTTGGGAATATTGCAGTTTTGCTTTTGCAGCAGGTGAAAATCGGCTAAAAACACAAACTCAGTGCTGTGAAATTGAATCAAGAAATGGTTAAATTCGATTTTTGTTTTCATTGTACATGAATTTAAGGTTTATAGCGCCTAAAACTATGCACCACACAACTGTTACTCTTTTTTTTAAATTGCAAGTTGGAAATAACTGCAATGCCAGTTTATAGCGTCTAAATTAAAAGATAGATCGATATTGTCCGACTAAAATGTATGTACATTTTCTTTTTATTATTTTTATAAAATAACTTTGTACATGCCATCTAAAACTATGCACCACACATGTTTATTTTGTACGTACAAGTTGATTAGAACAACTATGTCAGTTTAAGGATAGAGCGATGTTGCCTATAATATGACTATTATTTTATTTTTTATATATAATATTTTTTATAGTTTACGATACCTGTATATAGACACAGGACTTAAAGTAAAATACAAACCTGGAAAAAAAATTTCGTTAGAATAAAATATTTTATGAAAATAATATAAAGAAAATATTTTTTCAAGAACTCTATAAGGCGTGGATTTTTTAAAGAATATTTTTTCGAGAACTCTATAAGGCGTGGATTTTTTAAAGAATATTTTTTCGAGAACTCTATAAGGCGTGGATTTTTAAAGAATATTTTTTCGAGAACTCTATAAGGCGTGCATTTTTTAAAGAATAGATTTCTGAGAACTCTATAAGGCGTGGATTTTTTAAAGAATAGATTTTCGAGAACTCTATAAGGCGTGGATTTTTTAAAGAATAGATTTTCGAGAACTCTATAAGGCGTGGATTTTTTAAAGAATAGATTTTCGAGAACTCTATAAGGCGTGGATTTTGTAAAGCGTGGATTTTTTAAAGAATATTTTTTCGAGAACTCTATAAGGCGTGGATTTTTTAAAGAATATTTTTTCGAGAACTCTATAAGGCGTGGATTTTTTAAAGAATAGATTTTCGAGAACTCTATAAGGCGTGGATTTTGTAAAGCATATTTTTTCGAGAACTCTATAAGGCGTGGATTTTTTAAAGCATATTTTTTCGAGAACTCTATAAGGCGTGGATTTTTTAAAGAATATTTTTTCGAGAACTCTATAAGGCGTGGATTTTTTAAAGAATATTTTTTCGAGAACTCTATAAGGCGTGGATTTTTTAAAGAATATTCTTTCGAGAACTCTATAAGGCGTGGATTTTTTAAAGAATATTTTTTCGAGAACTTTATAAGGCGTGGATTTTTTAAAGAATATTTTTTCGAGAACTCTATAAGGCGTGGATTTTTTAAAGAATATTTTTTCGAGAACTCTATAAGGCGTGGATTTTTTAAAGAATATTTTTTCGAGAACTCTATAAGGCGTGGATTTTTTAAAGAATATTTTTTCGAGAACTCTATAAGGCGTGGATTTTTTAAAGAATATTTTTTCGAGAACTCTATAAGGCGTGGATTTTTTAAAGAATAGATTTTCGAGAACTCTATAAGGCGTGGATTTTTTAAAGAATAGATTTTCGAGAACTCTGTAAGGCGTGGATTTTTTAAAGAATAGATTTTCGAGAACTCTGTAAAGCGTGGATTTTTTAAAGAATAGATTTTCGAGAACTCTGTAAAGCGTGTATTTTTTAAAGAATAGATTTTCGAGAACTCTATAAGGCGTGGATTTTTTAAAGAATAGATTTTCGAGAACTCTATAAGGCGTGGATTTTTTAAAGAATAGATTTTCGAGAACTCTATAAGGCGTGGATTTTTTAAAGAATACATTTTCGAGAACTCTATAAGGCGTGGATTTTTTAAAGAATAGATTTTCGAGAACTCTATAAGGCGTGGATTTTTTAAAGAATAGATTTTCGAGAACTCTATAAGGCGTGGATTTTTTAAAGAATAGATTTTCGAGAACTCTATAAGGCGTGGATTTTTTAAAGAATAGATTTTCGAGAACTCTATAAGGCGTGGATTTTTTAAAGAATAGATTTTCGAGAACTCTATAAGGCGTGGATTTTTTAAAGAATACATTTTCGAGAACTCTATAAGGCGTGGATTTTTTAAAGAATAGATTTTCGGCGTGGATTTTTTAAAGAATAGATTTTCGGCGTGGATTTTTTAAAGAATAGATTTTCGAGAACTCTATAAGGCGCGGATTTTTTAAAGAAAAGATTTTCGAGAACTCTATAAGGCGTGGATTTTTTAAACAATAGATTTTCGAGAACTCTATAAGTTGTAGATTTTTTAAAGAATAGATTTTCGGGAACTCTAAAAGGCCTGGATTTTTTAAAGAATAGATTTTCAAGAACTCTATAAGGCGTGGATTTTTTAAAGAATATTTTATAGAGAACTCTATAAGGCGTGGATTTTTTAAAGAATATTTTATAGAGAACTCTATAAGGCCTGGATTTTAAAGAATATTTTGTTAAGAACTCTATATGAGGCGTGGATTTTTTTAAAGAATATTTTTCGAGAACTCTATATGAGGCGTGGATTTTTTAAAGAATATTTTTTCAAGAATTCTATAAGGCGTGGATTTTTTAAAGAATATTTTTTCAAGAATTCTATAAGGCGTGGATTTTTTAAAGAATATTTTTTCAAGAATTCTATAAGGCGTGGATTTTTTAAAGAATATTTTTTCAAGAATTCTATAAGGCGTGGATTTTTTAAAGAATATTTTTTCAAGAATTCTATAAGGCGTGGATTTTTTAAAGAATATTTTTTCAAGAATTCTATAAGGCGTCGATTTTTTTAAAGAATATTTTTTTCGAGCAACTATAATGCGTGGATTTTTAAAGAATATTTTTTTCGAGAACTCTATAAGGCGTGGATTTTTTAAAGCATATTTTTTCGAGAACTCTATAAGGCGTGGATTTGTTAAAGAATAGATTTTTCGAGAACTAAAGCAAATTTTTTTTAAATAAAGCAAAATGCAGATTTAAAAAAATATTTGTTCAAAACAGCAAAATGTGGATTTAAAAAAATATTTTTTTTTTTCAAGTAAAAAAATATTTTTTTAAATTATAGCAAGGCCGTGGATTTTTTAAAAAATATTTTTTATGGTATGCTTTAGATTTTTTCGAAAAAACGAGGCTTGACATTATTAAAAAATATTTTTTTGTTTTCAAAATAAAACAAAAAGTGGTTTAAAAAATATTTTGTTAAGATATATCATGGCGTGGATTAAAAAAAAAATATTTTTATACAAAAAATATGTTTTTAATTATAGCATAGCAGGGATATTTTTAATATTTTTCAAATTATGGACGCAAGCTCTTCGTAATTATCTGTTAATATTTGGGGGAAGACTACAGGGTTCCATATATACATATTTCTATTTTGTTTAATATGGAACAGCAGTCGAGAAATTTTTCACAGAATCGGTATTTAACTGGTTTACATTTTCAGACCATTGTCAGTGGGGTATCACTGTAATGCTTTGCTTAATATATAAAGCCCATCCTTACCTGAAAGGTTTTAAACAGCTTATGAAAAATAAGTTTACCAAATTTTAGCCCAAAGTATCAAAGTTCCAATAACTTCTGTATAAAATATTGTTTTAATTTGATTTCGCATTATTACGAACAATAATTAAAGAAGTAAAAAAACTTCTCCTTTCCCAAATGTGCCACAGTGCCATTGGGCGGGAAAATTCATTAATTTTTCCTGCGACAGATTCGCTTAACACAGTCTGAAAAGTAAGAATACAAAACAGGCTACTCACCTTTACGACATGAGAACGTTTTGGATAATCAATCATTGAGGCATTTTTGTCACTTATCACCAAGAAAGGCGGCGACACAGTGGTGGTGCTGGTGGTCGTGACTGTTGTTGTCGTTTGTTCTGATGTAACAGATGTTGTTGGCGAAATCCCACCGCCATTACCATTTAACAAATCATCATTGTTGTCGTCGTCTTTGTCGTTATCCATCAACGAACCGGAACCGACTACGGAAGTGGTAACGGATACTGGCATTTGTGATGTTGCAGCAGCTACATTTGGACTCTGGGACATGACTGCTTCATGTCTTAGCTTCTTGGCGTCGGCATCATTCGATGGTATGGCATTGATTTCTTGTATTTGTAGTGTGTCAATATTTCTATCATTGTCCACAATTCTGGCATTGGGCCACAGGCTGGCTGGCTGTTGTTTACTTTGCTCATTCTCCGCCTGCTTAAATGATGACGATGAGGAGGAGGCGGAGGATACATTGTGTTCTGTCATCATGCCGGTATCTTTGTCAAAACGATAGATATTTTTCGGATGAGCCTGGGTGTATTTTGTTAAACGCTCATCGGCTGAATGGTCAATGTCGCCCACTGTTTCAACGTTGCTGTAAACACGCTTATTGCCATTATCATTGCCATTGTCGTCATCAGCATTATTATCATCATCGTCGTATTGCGGATGCTGTTGATTATTGGTGGCCATACTATCGCTGGCAACTTTTTCATTTAAGCGAATAATATTCGATAAATTGATATTATTGATGAGCGTAACACCGCATATCGCTACCAGAATGATAACGAAACAAATGCCGCCAATTAAGAAAATGGGCGTTTTAGAATTTTTCGGACACATGTTGAATGATTTCGTTGAATGTTCGCTTAGGTTCGGCTTTGTTCAAGGCGTTTCAATTGTTGATTGTAGAGCGAGGTACGGTTCGTTTTTGCGTTTTTAATTAAACGCCAGCGGTAAGGGGAGACTTGAATGTCGGTTTGTTGGTTTGTTTGGAATTGCGTGTTTCAGTTTCTTTTTGATTTGTTTTCAATATAATTTGTGTATGACTTTGAAATTGTTGTTTTGTTTGTTTTCTTTTTTTTTGTTTTGCTACATTTCTATGGAATTGGAAGTTTTCAACATTTTATTAATGCAAAAGTAACAAACACTTGCAGCATAATTCATACACACACTCACTATGTTGAGGGATGGATTTATTTTTATATTTTGTACCAGTTTTATTTCGATGGCTGGATGAACTGATTTTTTGGGGTTAACTTTTCAAGGAAATAGATATTTTCTCAGTAAGGTTGAATTACTTTGATGGAGAAGTGTATAAAAACGAAAAAATTACATGGAAATAAAACACGCCATGGAAATAAGTTGGCTAAACAAATAAATTTCAAAAATCTTCCTTAACTTCTGAAGAACACAAAATAGAAAATAAATTAAAGCAATCAATGGGACAAGGAACTATTATTAAGCCGAACGGGCCGACCACACAACCTGAACCTGCTAAAATTTCTATTGTTGTAAGGGAAATACAACAAAATATTTAAATATTCAGAACTCCTTTACTAATTGAAGTATATCCTCAATATCCAATATCGTATATCCAAATAATTGATATCGTCCGTCTTTCATATAGTGGCAACTTCTTCGAAGAAAATTGGAAGTAGAAAATTGCATGCAGCTCTCGTATAGAGAGAGGAATACCTCTAGGTGTTCTATAGGAAGAACATGAGGTGCAGCTCTTCCACAGGAGGAAGAATACCTGCAGCTCTTCCACGGGAAGAAGAATACCAGCAACTCCACTTTAGGGGGACGAATATCTCCAGCTCTCCTATATGACAAAGAATACCTTCAGCTCTTTCAACGGAAGCAGAATATCTGCAGCTCTTCAACAGGAAGAATACATACAGTACTCCTCTAAGAAGAAGAATTTCTGCTTCTCTTCCATATGAAGAAGAATTTCTACAGCATTCCTAAAGGAAGAAAATTGCATGCAGCTCTCCTATACGAAGAAGAATACCTCCACGTCATTTACAGGAAGAAGAATACCTGAAACTCTTCCACAGAAAAAAAAAATACCTATGAAAAATACCTATGACTTCTCGAAATTGACATATGCGACATAAGTCTAACTCAGTCTGTTCCGTTGACTATTCTCCGATATCCAATAAAAACCAAGCTTAGTCCTTAATCAGATATCCTTCCCAGTGTGAAATTTCGTAATGTTCGAACTCTGTAGAGTGTAGAAAAACATACAAAAACAATTGAAACCAGTAAGGAATGTAGTAAAGTCGGACTGAGCCGACTATATGATACCCTTCACCTCTTTGGGTATATTCTACATATGTATCCTAAGAGACGTCGCATTTTTGAAGGAACATTGACATGAAATTGAACAAACTTAAATATGCGATATTTATCTACATCTAAACCGGCTGACATCAATCCCTACACATGCCATTCTGTAACCTATGCTAAACTTTGTAAATCGATTTAAAGCAATCTCGATTTAAATTAATCTCAATCAGACATCCATTGATTACTAGGTGTACACTTAACATTAATAGGTCGAAATTATATATGGAAGCTATACTATATCTATATCTGAACCGATTCCAAGGAACCTTGCCAGATATTAATTTATATTAACTTCAGTACACTGTATCAATCGGCCTAGCTATGGATCTTTAGTGCACCATTTACTTAAAATCGAACGAAAATATATATATATATATATATATATGAGATGTATGTAAATCTAAACTTATTTTCACGAAACTTAGCACAACACACCATACAAAATTTAATTTAGTTCGCTATGCCAAAATTCGTGCAAATCGAATGCTTTTCAGGGACTTGGGTGTACCATTTACATAAAATCGGCCGAAACTATATATGGGAGCTGTATATAAACCGGAACCGATGTTCACCAAATTAAACACACATAATTCTAGACTTAATTCAGTATGCTGTGCCAAATTTCGTGCAAATCGAAAGATATATAGGGACTATGGTGCACCATTTACATTAAATCGGACGAAAATATATATGGGAGCTATATCTGAATCTGAACCGATTTTCATAAAATTCAATAGGGTTCGTCCTGATCTCAATCTATGTTCTAGCTTTAATAACGTATCCAAACTCATTAAAAATCTGTTTTCACACTGCAACAAATCCTGGAAAAGACCCACAAAAATATATCAACACATTCCACTTATTCGTCGACTATAAGGCCCCATTTGACAGCCCAATCTGCTCAGGGTTCTTTAAATCCATGTCTTAGTTCGGCATTCCTGCAAAGTTAATATGACAGAATAACTTTAACTGGCACAAGGTCAGCATTTAAAGTCGGAAAGAAGCTCTCGGAGCCCGAACGAGGTGACAGTTTGTCATTAGATCTTTTTAACGTCCTGCTGGAAAAGTTTATACGAGATGCAAATGTGAACCGAAATGACACGCTGTACACCAAACAGCATATGTTACTCGCCTACGCCACCTTCGAACGAATTGAGAAGGAGTCTGCCGTTATATGGATATAGTTTTTCGGAACTTCCCAGAAGTAGTGGAAATACATAGGCAAATTTTCATAGCTTTTCATAGCGGATTCTTAATAAATGGCCAAACCATATTTATATGTTTTCCTAGTATTTAGTTTAGCCTATGATCCGGAAAATCATGAAATTCTTATGTAAATTGAATAATTTCATAAAAAAAAATCCCATCGATGTTCAAACATTTAATTTTCATACAAAAAAACATTTATAAAAATTTCCCCGAAAAATCTGATAAGTTTCCTATCGATTTTATACCCTCCACTGCAAAAAATATGTTGGAAGAGATGAAAGCAAAGCAAAAAATTGCAATTTTAAAGGATACGTCGTTTCTACTTAGTCTCCCTACCGGAGCCATATGATATATTTGCCAAAGAGCAAAAAAAAAAAAAAAAAAAACACATACACATACACACACCCTTTCAAATTCTCTTCACTATTCATTACCAATTGTGCTTTACACTTGTTCATGTCATGTTGATATTCAACTGAAATTTCACGATTTTTTCCTATAGTTTCACATATAGCTGCATTGGAATGGTGTGCAACGAGAGTGTGTATGTGTGTGTTTGTGTAAGGGCGTAGGTGTCACAAACTACTCGGTGTCAAGTGCAGTGCAGTGTTAACTCTTACATGCACATATAATTTTTTTATACTACTTTTCCTATAGTTTTTCTTCTTCTTCCTTTGTTAAGTTGCCTGCTTATGAAACTTAGTGGTAGTGTTAGAAATCCGCCACACACCCACACTAGCGCTCAGTCTCAGCTGTGTGGTGTGCGGAACGTGTTCGCATTTAGTAAAAACATACAATTAAAATAACAATCCTCAGAATACTAATGCATTTTTTATTCTTTTGAATTCACGCTTAGTTTTTTGTGTTGTTGTCTGCCTGCTTTCTTCCTTGCTGTGAATCAGTGCGTGCGTGTAATATACGAGTATGTGTAAGTGTGTTGTGACAGCATGTACTTCGTTTTCTGTTTCCTTAATTTTGCTTTTGATGAAGTGATTTTTACTTTTAGAAAAATACACTGAGAAATCTGATGTCAAGATATCTATGGATAAAAAGTCGCAAAGTTCGGCTGAGCCAAACCTCTTCCATAATATCTACAAGTTAAAACGTCGATATGTTAAGCCGAACATATCTTTTGAATAGTAAATGTGAATAAATTTGAAATAAAACCTTAAAATACCGAAAATGGTGTGGTGGACCCAATACCAAAACATGGCCTGATACATTCCATTATCAATACCCAACATCCTAAGGGTAAGAACATTTTATGTGCAAAATGTTAAACCCCTATCTTCATTCGCTTCATATGAAAATGACGACATTTTAAATTGTGAGTGAGCTGATATGTGCCGTGAGTTCACCCATAAGAACTATAAAAAACGGGTTGAGGCGTCGGGTTAGTTGCCCACACTCGGAAAACCTCTCTTACTATGAAAAAACAACGAAAAAGAAACCCAAATCCCCCAACGACCCCGCAAACGTATAAAGGACCTTGATCTGCGAATCTGTACTTGGAATGTGCGTACCTTGTACAGAACAGGCGCAGTTTTTGCCTTGGCGGATATACTCAAGAAGTACAAAACAGATATTATTGCCTTACGATGGAACGGGACTGGCGTGAATAAATCAGATGATTACGCCCTATATTATAGCTGCCATGAAACGAGACGTGAATTTGGCTGCGGCTTTATGGTTAATAGGAGAATAAAAGTCCCCATCTCCAGATTCACTCCAGTAGATGAGCAAATTTCTATAATCCTATAAAAGCGAAGTTCATCTACATAAGTCTTACTTGCGCCCACGCTCCGACGGAAGACAAAGCTGAACAGAGCGCCTAGAAACTGTATATGACCGCTGCCCTAGCCATGACATTAAAATTCTGCTAGGAGATTGTAATGAAAAAATCGGAAGGGAAAATATTTTTGGTCCCACCGTCGTAAAATTTAGCCTCCATGAAGAAACATCCGACAACGGCATGAGGTCGATTGACTTCGCGGCAGCAAAAAACAAAACACCATCTCCTCATCAAGCAACGAGAAATCAAATTGATCATATTGTGATAGACGGAAGGTTCGTACCCGCCTTAATGTAGCAGCAAAGGTACAATCTAATGTAACACGGAAATTCGACGTCGAAAAGCTGCAAACACAACATATAGCAGAATACTCCGCTCAACTTACCCACTTCTTTGACGAAATCCGAAGGCTTTGGTGCATGAACATCCTCCTGTAGAGATAAAGAACGAAACCTGGAGACAGATAAAGACAGCGTGCTGAGGATCTGGA